GCCCTGGGACTCGGTGGCCCTTACCAGCCACTGTGGGGCTGGTTTTTCCCCAGCACCTGAGGATGGCCCCACCCAGCTGTTCCAGGTACTCCAGGACCTAGAAGACGCCCATCGCTCTGGTCCTCTGACCACAGCAGACCAGGAGAAGAACTCCCTCTTGGAGCTGCAGACGTGAGACCGAGCCTGGCTGCCCTCAGGCCCAGGCCCAGGCCCTGCCCCGATGCCATCCATCCCACCCTCTGTCTCCTGCTGGGACTGTTTATTCCCAGGAACTCCCTGTCATGCTGGCGGCCTAGGAACTCTGCTTTGGAGATCTGCCTGTGGCCTGGGTGACCCACCAGGCCCCCTGGTCCCAGGCCCCTGTCCTCACTTCTGCCCCAAAGCTCAGCCCTTGGCTGCAAACCAACACCCCCCCATTTCCATGAGCTCTTCAGGGCCTGAGCCTGGTCCTGGGCTGTGCAGAGGCTCTTCCGAGGTGTCAGGAGAGCAGTGGGAAGCTGAGACCTCCCCGGCTGGGGAGGGGAACAGAGACATCCAGGCCCTGGCTTCCTGGGATGGGTCACTGGGTCCCCAGGCGTGGCAGCCCCAGGCCCTCTTCATCGCTTGTCTCCACCCCCCCACACACACCTCCCACTCCAAGTTAAGTCCTTGCCTCTACATTCCATGAGATTCACAGTGGGGGAGCTTGGAGGGAAAGGGAGGCTGTGATTACTCATTAGGACTTGGGGTTCTGAGAAGTCTACGGAGTCTGTTCCTGACTCTGCTGACCCGGTGACTGGCAAATCCTCTAGAAGGGGATGGGGAGAGAAGAAAGTAGGACGATGTCATCTTCTCTGCCCCCTCCCCCCCATTCCCAGTATGGTCGCTCGGCCTCCGAGGGACTCGGGCTCCAGGGGCTCCTGAGCGCCAGAACTCCGGATCAGCTTCCTGACTCACCCCAGGACGGGAAGCCTTGGGCAGCCCCACTTCCTCCCATGCCAGCGGCCGGTCCCCTTAGCCGGGCATCACTGCAGATTACAATAAACTTTCCTCTACCCTTGTTGGACTGGGCTCTGGTCCTCTCTTTTGGGAGCGCCAGAGGGGAGACGTCAAGGGACTGGAGAGGCCAGAGAAGGACGTCTGGGGTGGGAGGGGGTAAAAAAATTGGTACCCTGTAGGAGGCAGTGCTTAGGGAAAGAGACCCAAGGCTGCCTGGTTAAGAGCAATTGGCCGGTCAGCAAGCCTGCTCTGGGCTAGACACGATGCTAAGGGTCAGGGGCACAAAATCAAAAGTGGAACTGTCCCTGTCCGCAGGAAGTCAGCAAGTGCGAGGGGAAGGGGCTAAGGCATTTATATAGCACCTACTGTGTGCCAGGCACTTTGTACAAATATCTCGTTTGAGCTTCACAACAACCAACCCTAGGAGATAGGCGCTATTATTATTATCCCCATTTTTCAGATGAGGAACTGAGGCAAACTGAGGTTAAGTGACTTGCCCAGGGTCACAAAGCTAGGATTTGAGTAATAATAAAGTGCTTACTATGGGCCAGACACTGTGCTAAGCACTTCACAATTAGTACCCTATTTTTCCATTCTCTCTCTTTTTTTTTTTTTAAGTTTTGACTTCCAAATTCTCTCCCTCCCTCCCCTCCCCTGAGACAGTAAGCAATCTGATACAGGTCATGCGTATGGAATCATGTAAAACATTTCCATTTTAGTTATTTCATGCAAGAAAACTCAAACAACAACTGAAAGAAAGAAAGTGAAAAATAGTCTGCTCTGATCTGCCTTCAGACTCCATTGTTCTTTGTCTGGAGGCGGAGAGCATTTTTTAGCCCGAATCCCCTGGAATTCTTTCGAAGCATTATACTGTTGAGAACAGCTAAGTCATTCACAGCTGGTCATTGTACAATATTTCTTTTTAAAAAAATTTTTTTGTAAGCTCATGCTCATTTCTATTTTAAAAATTTATTTATTTTTAGTTTTTAACATTTACTTCCATAAGATTTAGAGTTTTAAATTTTCTCCCCCTCCCTCCCCAAGACAGTGTACAATCTGATGTAGGCTCTACATATACATTCCTATTAAATATATTTTCACATTAGTCACATTGTAAAGAAGAATTCGAACCAATGTATCCCCATTTTACAGATGAGGGAAACTGAGGTTACATGATTTGCCCAGGGTCACACAGTGTCAGAGGCTCGACTTGAACTCGGGTTTTTCAGTTCTTTCTGACTTTAGACCCAGAGCACTACCCATTGCAGCACCTAGCTGCCTTTGAGAATAGCCAGCATCTGTAAAGGATTCAGAAGAAACTTCCTACTTTTGGCAGAGGGTATCAAGGAAAACTTCTTGGAGGAGGTGGTGTTTGAGCCTGACCTGGAGTGAGTGGGCAGGACGTGGGAGGCATGGATAAAAGGTGGGCTGTGCAGGTAGAAGGAATATCAGCTAAAGGCCGAGGCACGTGCTCTAATGCCTTGGCCAAGTTTGTCTCCTGGTTCTGGAACTGGAGGATGAAGGTTCAAATCCCAGCTACCTTTGTGACCTCGGGCCAGTCCCTTGTGGGGACTCAGTTTCTCCCTCTGTAAAATGAAGATATGTAAGAGATGATCTCTAAGGTCCCTTCCAGCTCTTCACTTGTCCTGCTGGGCTTCCCTGAGAACTCAGAGCTTTACGTTCAATCAACATTCAACAAACAAGAGGCGCCTGCTGTATACCACACACTGTGCTAGGCTGCTCTCTTAAGACTGAGGCTACCAGGGTTTTTGGTCCTTGGATGCTGCAGATTCTAAAATGGAGTTGTTCCCTCCTCCCAAGATTCCCATCATTTCTCCACCAGCCCCCAGTTGCCCCTTTTTGGGGAGAATCAGATCCAATTTCCTTTGGTATTGCCTCCAGATACAGAAGAACACAGCCACCTTGGGTCAGAAGGAGGTTTGTGAAGGGTGTCTGCAGGCAGCAGAGAGAGCCTGTGGCCGGGGAGAAGTCAAAGATGAAAGAGATGGAGAATGATTGGTGGGGGTAAACGCCTAGAGAAGAAAAGGGATGGTACCAGGAGGGTGGAGCAAAGAAGGAGAGGATGGGGGGCAGGTTTTAGAATGCAGAACCACGTGCCAAATTCAGAAGGATCGCTTGGGGCCTTGGTCTTAAAATGTAGTTTGATCTATGCTTTATTGTATTTTTATTTATTTTGTTAACTATTTGCCAGTTACATTTTATTAAATATTTCCCAGTTACATTTTAAAGAGAGGCCAGAGGGAGAGCCTCTGGGAAGCCTAGAGGGGTGGAGAACCTGGAGGCTTGGTGGGGGCTTCTAAGGACAAAAAGGAGGTTTAGGAGAAGTCAGGCAGAGGGAGAAGAGAACGTATGATCAGGGATGTATTTCAGAGCTCAAGACCATGGAGGCAATGTTGTTTATGGGAGATGGTAAGACAACCCACTCATTGGGCGGAATGAGGGTGTAGCTACCATTCCCTCGAAATGAGTCTAAATGAGCCTGTAAGGGCCATCTCTTGGAAACCTTGAAGGACTCAAGGACACGTGTCCCCCAGCTTTACAAACATCCCTGCAGTGTGTTAAATCCCCCAATTAGACTGGAAGCTGATTGAGGACAGGGACTGACATCTGCCTCTTCAGTGCTTAGCTTACTTAGTGCCTACTTCATAGTAGGTGCTTAATAAATGTTGATTGATTGACTGATCACAGGGTTGTGGTGAGGATCTAATGAAATACCCAGTGCCTTTCACAAAGTAAGTGCTTAATAAATGTTGATTGACTGTTACCAATGCAAGACAGTCATTCACGAGAGTTGAAAAGGTTGAACTGAGAAGCCAGTTAGTAGAGACCATGCATTTGTGTATTGAGGGGTCCAAATGTGAAGGAAGAGGTCAGAGAGAGCCTGTGAGTCAGGTAGTGAACCCTCTGTCATGCAGAAGGATGATTTGCATAAGAGGCTATAGCTGTAACAAGAATTTGGACTGATGTTATCGACCAGAGGTGTCAAATCTCAGGCCTGAACCAGGTGAAAATGTGATGGGAAGTGTTTAATAAAATAAATGAAGACGCAACACAAATAACCTTAATTTGTGGACAGTGTTGTGTATAGATAACGTGAATTTCTAAGTCCATCAGCTCCCGATTCTCTGAGTTCCACACCACTGATGTAGACAGAAGGAAAGATGCTCAGAGGAGGACCTTTAATGATCTACACAAAGGTCCACCCAGGGTCCACGCGTTACTTCATTTGAGCCTCCCAACGCCTCTGTCAGGTGGAAACTCTGACTCGACGGGGCAGGGGCTGCTTTACAAGATGAAGACCTGGAGGCTGAGAGGTCTGAGCTAGTCAGTGCCTCAGCTGGGGTTTGAACTCGGGTCTCAGCCCAGCTTTCTTCCCCCACGGCACCACGGGGCTGCCCAGTAAGAGGAGGGCATGCTCAGGCCTCCTAGCGGTCAGCCAGCGACCATGGCAAAGGGGGCACCCACACTGGGGTGGACGGCTGGGGGCTGCCATCTTCCGGAGGACCCAGCCAAAGCAGGAGGAGGAGGAGGTGCCCGGTGAGGAATGCGGCATACGCTGAGACACGATCTAGCGCTGGGAGGGCCCTAAAGACCGTCGAGTTCCATCCCTTCATTTAACTGGCGAGGACACGGAGGCACAGAGAGGGGAGGTGATTTGCCCAAAATGACACAGGCGGTCAGCGGCAGAGGCGGGATTAGAACCCGGGTCCTCCGCCTCTGCCGGCGTCTCCAGTGCTTTCTAAGCCAGCGTCGGAGCCCGGGTCCCCTCGGCTGCAGCGCCGGAGCCCCGTCGCCCCCTCGCGGGGCTGGAAGGACACAACGCCGGACACGCACACGCGCACACACACCTGCTGGTCCCGTCCCTCCCCTCGACCCAGCAGAGCCGCGCATGCGCTGATCTTCCTCTCCCCTCTCTGGCTCCCCCTTCCCTATCTGGTCCATCTCGCGGCAGAGCGCGTTACTTCCGGTTCCGCCCTGGACACGCATGCGCAAACTCGCTCGGCTGCCGGCGTGCCCCGGAAGCGGAAGTTGGGCTGGCTAGGCGAGCACCCGCGTTAGCGGCGGTGGCGGCGGAGAATGAACGCGCCCCCGGCCTTCGAGTCCTTCCTCCTCTTTGAGGGAGAGAAGAAGTGAGCGCGGCCGGGGCCGGGAGGGCCAAGCGGGGCTGCCGCGGGACCCTCGGCAGGAGAGGCCTCCGCTTCCTCCTCCGTGCAATGGGGGGAGTCCACCCAGGGGCGCCCCCGGGCGTCAGTTTCCTCGTCTGTCCTCCCCCAAGAACGCGACAGCCCCTTGTTTGGGAAGACTAGGGTCAGATGGGCAAACCCAAAGAAGCCCGCGGGTCACCGCCGGCCCTTAGGTCACGTGCGCTGGACAGCACCCCCATCGTACAGAGGAGGAAACTGAGGCCGGCAGTGACCCCCGAGCGTCGGAGGCTGGGCTCCATCCCGGGTTGTCCCGACTTCGGGGCCTCCGCCTGATTACCCGCAGCTGACAGTAAAGAAGCCGGAGGGGCAGCTAGGTGGCGAAGTGGGTAGAGCCCGGGGCCCTGGAGTCAGGAGAACCTGAGTTCAAATCCAGCCTCAGACACTTGACACTTACTGGCTGTGTGACCCTGGGCAAGTCACTTAACCCCGACTGCCTCACCAAAAAGCAAAGCAAAGAAGCCGGGGACGCTTGTCCTTGTGGATTGTGAGAAAGGGCTACAAAAACTCGAGCGTCCCTGTTTGTGTAAAGAATGAACCCGACCTTAGGGTCGTGCCTCAACTTTCCCGTCCGTAAAATGACAGCGTTGGTTTACATGGGGTCCAAGACCCCCGCTTAGGCGTAGCTTCGCAGGGATCCCCTCTGAACCCCGGATCCTCGGGGTTATGAGTGGTTACGGAATTCGCACTGTGTACCTCCCCAAGGGGCGTGTGTGACAGCGGAGGCGGCCCCGAAGCTGGGTAGGGGTAAACGGGCAGCCACCTCCGGCCCTGGTCCCTTACCTGTCCTGTTCCTCCCCAGGATCACTATCAATAAGGACACCAAAGTCCCCAATGCCTGTTTGTTCACCATCAACAAGGAGGACCACACCCTAGGAAACATCATCAAATCGTAAGTTGGGCCCAGGAGTGGGCGACCTGGTGGGGGCTTGTGACCCGCCGGCCTCTGTAGCGCCTGAGGAGCCCCCTCTTAGCCTTGGCTCATTGGGTGCTGGTCTTCCCTTGTACGGGAATAAGCTCTTTACAGCTGTGAACCCAGGCCTTGAGGTTGTGGCGGCCATCCTCCTTTCCTGAACCCTTCTGGATCTTAAAGCAGGATTCTCTTCACACTTAACCCCTTAATTCCAAATTCAGAACTTCCCAGCTTATTCCAGAATTCTGGTTGGTCACTCCATAGTCTCAGATAAATTCTTCAAACCGATTGGGTGCAACCTTCAGAAATAGAGAAGATGAGATAACCCTGGAGTGTTTTCTCCTTTGTTTAATTTATTCACATAAAATAAATGCATTTCATTCATCCGTTATGAATTCATCTTTCTGGCTGAACATTATTCAGGAGGACATCCGTGCCCCTCATCTCCCTCCACACCTTTAGATCACTTCTATCCTCTCTCTACTTTGACCAGGGAGCTATGGGGAAAGGTGAAATTAGTGATCTTTTACATCATTTCATCACTTGTGAACATCTAGCCTCGCATGGCTTAGGCTAAAAAAGGGGGAAGTTTAGGAGGCTTAAATTAGGTGGGGAGATCATTTGTACCAGCACCTGGACTACCATAATTCACTGGTCTCTTTACTTAGTCTTTCCCACTGTCTAACATGCTGCTACTGGATTAATCTTCCCCAAATATTGCTTATTCCATTTTCCTGCTCCAACACCTTCAGTAGTTCCCCGATTCCTACAGAATAAAACTCCTAGCTTGCGTTTGAGGCCCTCCAGCGTCTGATCCTTTTTTCAGTAGTGTCCATCTCTTCAGTGGGGTTTTCTTGGCAAAGATAGTGACTAGAGTGGTTTGCCATTTCCTTCTCCACCTCATTTTGCAGATGAGGAAACCAAGGCAAATATGGTTCAGTGACACGCCTGAGGTCACACAGGAAGTGTCCAAGGCCAGATTGGAACTCAGGAAGATGAGTCTTCCGGACTTCAGGCCCAGCACTCTGTCCACTGTGCCACCTAGCCACCAGGTCTAATCCTTAGGTTACATTTAAAATAATTAAGTTTTTGTTGGTAGCGTTTGTCTTTACCTCTATATCTCACTGAAAAAAAAAACAAAACAACTTCAGTCAGAGTAACCCAACACATCAGAGAAGTCTGGCCTTTTATGCAACGCTCTGCATCCGTAGTCTCCCTCCTCTGCAAAGAAGTGTGTCTTTTCTGGGAGGCCAAGCTTGGTTATCAGAATACTGCAGCATTAGGCTTCTGTTATTTTGTTCTTTCCCTACACACTCGTGTAGGCATTGTGTGTTCTGTTTTCCTCATTCTGCCAGCTTCACTTTGCATCAGTCCGTTGGAGTCTTCCCGTATTTGTTTTCATCATGGTTACTGTTTCTTACAGCATACGTAATAATTCAGTTGTTTATGGAGCAGTTTATTTAGCCATTTGTCCATCAATGGAGCTCTCGTTTCTAGTTCATTGCTGTACCTCAGCTGCCTTTTTAGACTTCTTTCTTTCTTCGTCATATTGAAACCTTTTATAGCAGTCAGCCCAATTTACTCACGATCCCCTCCCAATGTTGTGTGCTCACCTGCCTCTGACTCTGCTTGCCTGGTATGTCCTCCCACCCCTCTCTCCACATCCTCTGTCCACTTAGATCCAGCTCTTCTAGGAGGTCTTTCCTGGGCACTGACAGGAAATGATGTCTTTGAAGAGGGAACGTTAAATGCCTTTATATCCCCCACAGAGTCCCATTCTTTGCACACAGTTGGTGCCCAGTACATTTTTACTAATATAACTCACTTAAATTTCACATTAACTCATGTTGCTTACTAGCCAAGTATGTTACTGTCACACCATTTTGACCATATTCAGAAGGTTAAAATCAAGAAACATTTGTTAAGGTCTTATAGATCACTGGGGTAGACAGCAGGAGAGTTAGAGGGGTTAGCTAAGTAACATTCCCTGCCCTTGTGGACGCTGCTGAGAGTCTAGCAGGAGCTTGGAGATTCCCAGACCTCTGTAATACCACAGAATACCTAAATGCATTAGAAAGCTTCAGACCAGTGCTGTCAGGTCCGAGGCACATCATCCTGGCATGAGGAGGTCAGGGAGTCTAGGGGAGGCAGTATTTGGGTTGGGCTATAGAGGAGGAAGAGGAATTCAAAGCAAAAGGGAACGAAGATGCTCCTGGCAGGAAGGGAAATGTGTTCCGGGACCTGGCCATGGGGCTGAGTGAGGTAGGGGGAAGGGCACGCACTGGGGTCACTTGTGATGGCACGGAGGCCAGGTCTGGAAGTTTGAGTTAGTGAGAAGACAGGAGAGAGAGATGAGTGTTATTTCTTGGGTTCTGCATTCTGGTCCATGTTGCCTTCCTCGCTTTGTCAGTGAATTCACTTTATCCTTTATGAGATACACCAAGAGGCAGCAGTGTCATGTAATGGACAGAGAGCTGGCCTTGGCACCAGGAAGACCTGGGTTCAAGTCCCACCTTTGAAATATCCTGACTGTGACTCTAGGCTGGTCAGTGGCAGAGATGGTGTTGACTTGTGTTGGTGAAGGGAATTTGCTCACCTGGGAGTTCTCTATACCAGTAAAATCCCAGAATCAAACTGTTGCTATGGGGGCAGGAGAGGGCGAGTGGGGACACGCTTGTTGTGGGTAAGAGCCTGGAGTTCTGAAGACTGGGAAAGGTCATTTTTACCAAAAAAACTCACTTTGTCATTCAAGGCTCTACCAGAAATGCTGTCAGAAGTTCAGGTGAACCTATGGGACTTGGGCTTCTTTGCCCTTTAAACATTTGTCCCCCAAAATGTTCTGGGTTTTTTTTTAACTTGAAAGTCTTATCCCCATGGAGGGGATGGTGAACTCTGACAACTACATGAATATATAAAAAGTACAGTTGTTCCACAATTATAGAAATTTCCAGATGGAGACAGTCCAGAGGCCTGCCATACATACAGCCTTGGCAACCTGATGCCACATGTCACAAAAGGCCAAGAAGTTTGCCCAGGATGCTTTGATGGCCAGTGCACTCAGCTGGCTCCAACCCCATGGAAAAACCTCTAGGCTGCAACCGTGGCTAGACTTGGAAAGAGGCGGGGCTACAGTGGTGCCTTTAAAATCAGTGTGAGAAGAGTGGCTTCACAGTGATTTAAAGAATGTCTCAGAAAACCACGGTCAGTGCAGCAACAGACACTGCAGACTAAACATTTTTAAAACATGTAAAAAGTTGAAGCTTTATTGTAAAAAGTGATTGGTTTACTTTGTCCCAAATCATTCAGATACCCCCTGTGCCACTGTATGGTGGAGGGGGTCTGTGTGGAGCAGAGGGCAGATGAGAGCACAGAGCGGGAAGGAAGCTAGCTGCCCTCATTCTCCATTCATCTGGCTCACCTTGTTCTCCCTTTCTGTGTTTCAGACAGCTACTGAAAGACCCACAGGTGCTGTTTGCAGGCTATAAAGTCCCCCACCCCCTGGAACACAAAATCATCATTCGTGTGCAGACCACTCCGGACTACAGCCCTCAGGAAGCTTTCACTAACGCCATCACAGATCTGATCAGCGAGCTCTCCTTGTTGGAGGAGCGATTCCGGGTAAGGAGCCACCAGCAGCGTGGGCATGAAACACCCTGCTAGGTCTGGGGTTGGGGGGCAGTGACAGGGATGGACTCATCTGGAGAACAGAATCATAGAGATTTGTTCCCCTGATATTTTCTTTCCCCCCTATAAAACAGCCCTCATTTCTGGCTGCCTGAGCCTGACTTTTAACGTCCTTTCTGAGTGTAGTCTCTAATTTGGAGTGCTTTCAGCCCCCGGTGGCATGGTGGTTGTTAACCATTGGCCTTCCGCATACAAACATCAGCCTTGAGAACACAGCGTTGCCCAGACCTTCTCTTCCCCACCCAGGACACGGGAACAACTAAGTTCGGGTGCTGGTGGGAACGCTAGATTAGACTACTCCAGGGCCCTCCCCTTCCTGCCACACGATAGCTTTGTGGCTCTGTTGCAGATGACTTTGAAAGGCCAGCGATCAAGGATTCCACAGACACTTGTCTGAGTGGGCACCGATTTCTTACACGACAGTAAAATGACTGTTATGACACGGCCTCAATGTGTGCGGGCGCTCCATGTCTATTTTTCAGAATTTCCATTTATAACTTACCTCGAGGTCCTGCAGCTCGTTCAGGAACCTTAGCCCTGACTCACTGGCTCAATGTTTTCTTCCTGTTCTAGGTCGCTATCAAAGACAAACAAGAAGGAATTGAATAGTTCTTGATTCTTCTCCAGGCAGCTTCCAGAAGAGCCAGAGCACAGAAACTCTTCCTCCCCTTTGATATCCGATTGGTATGGAAAGCGGAATGGGGAAAACCTGACTGCTTTTCTCTCTGGCGGGCAATTCCTGTAATTTCCTCATAAAAGGTACTTGCTACTTCCGCGTCACTCTCTTTCAGTATCTCAAGCAGTAGGTTTTAGTCAGCTTCAAAATTCTGCTGGCCATAAAATCACACAGTGATAGTCTGGCCATTGTGGGCTGGAGATGGACTCATTAGACAGTTTAATTATAAGGAAAGAATAGTCACTAATGGTTCTGTGTCCAACTAGAAGGAGGGCTGCCGGTCAGGATCCAAAACTCCATCTTGTTTACATCCAATTGCTAGGCAGTGGGGTTAAGTGACTTGCCCAGGGTCAGACAGCTACTAAGTGTTTGAGGCCAAATTTGAACTCGGGTCCTCCTGACTCCAGGACAGGTGCTCTTATCTACTGCACCACCTAGCTGCCCTGACCTGTGATTTTTCTTAAAGCAACTGAGTCAGGAAGGCAATCACCTTGTGTCTAAGCTCAGACCTCGTTAGCTCAGCTCTCTTCCCCCTCCCCCTCCCTGTTCACGGAACATAAAACACAGCTCACTTATTTTAATTTGAGTTTAGTTGAAAACTATCCATTTAAAAAACGCACACTTAGGAGAGCCTCACAATTCCCACCACAAAAAGCACAAATCCAGTCATTCGCCACTGCCTCTGGATGCTAGAGTTTGTTCCAGATGGCAATGATGTTTGTGTCCGTCAGAGCCACAAGATAGGTAAAGGTAGGGTCTGCCACTGCTGTGTTGATTAAGGTTTTGTTCATCTTTTGGCCTCGGGCTGAGAGATCTGGCCATCTGAGAATCTGTCAAAATGCAGAAAAGACTTCAGATGTATAGTTCATGAGACACAAGCTCCCCCTTCAGGATTAGCTCAGACCTAGACAGGAGCAGCAGTGATAACTATTCAGGGCTCTACTGGTCCTTAAAGCATTTCTGGTATCCAGCAATGGAAGGAAACATCACCCACTCCTCCCCAGGAGGACAACTAGGGAGGGATTCCAGAACCACAGGTTCTCAGAAATCGCCTCATCCTCATTTTCGAGATAAAGACTCAGGCCCAGAGATGAGAAATGACAAGTTGGAGCCAAAAGGAAAACCAAAGTCTTTTGCCCCAGAGAACTCCTACCTTCGTGGGGGCCACCTTGGCCTGCAAGGGCCGCTGCTGCTCGAGACACCGCCTGACGTCGTACATCCACACGCTTCCCTCTTCGTCCCCGCAGAACACAAACGCTTTCTCTGCAATCAGATACCGTTTGGGGGGGGGGGAAGGTCAGTGCCTCCCCGCTTGTCTGTGACTTCGGGGGTGGGAGCCAAGTCAGAATGCCGTGAGTGGCCCAGACCCAAGAGTCTTGACCACCTGACAACATCCCTGCTTAGAGGGCAGGGGCTGCTCCACTACCCTCCCCATGGGCATCTCCAGTGAGGCCCCAGATCCCTTCCTTAAACATAACAAAAAGTCCTGTTGGTTGTGCTCAGCATTGGCTGGCTCAGAACCCCAGCCGTGGCCCTCAACAGCCAATCTCTCCTTCCCTACGTTTCTGCTGCCTCAGTGGCGCCCCCTGGCACCTTCCCCCAGTTTTGTGCTTTACCTGGGCAGGTGCTGAGGGTCAGGTAGGGCATCTCTGTGCTGGACCACTGGAGCTGTGCCAGGATGACAGCTGTCACTCGCTGCTCGTCTCCTCTTCCTGCCAGGGACTGGCTCCAGCTCCACAAGCAGATAGAGCCAGGGGTGCAGCCCTTGGAAGCTGCATGAGAACAAAAGCGGAGCCACCCAAGGGCCAGACTGACTGCTCGCTCTCCCTGGGCCTGAGGCAGGGACAGGGAACCTGCAGCCTTCTAGGACCTTGGGTGTGGCCTTTTCACCGAATCCAAGTTTTATAGAACAAATCCTTTTGTTTTTATTAAGGGGATTCGTTCTGCACTTGAGGACCTAGAGGGCCACATGTGGCCTGGGGCTGCAGGTTCCCCAGCCCTGGTCTAAGGCCTGGGGGAAGAGATTTCTGTGGCTTAAGGCTCCCAGGCCAGCTCTCTACCCTGCTGCACCCACACAAGCTCAAACGACTGTACTTCCCAGTCCTCCCCAGAGGACCACCTTTCTCAAGCTTTGGTCTCCATGGGCCCAGCCTGCGGACATCAATCTGGCATCTGGGGTAGTTCCCAGGGACTCAGGCCATGGCTGTTCCTCCCTATCAGGGTATGCCCCACTACCCCGGAAGGGTCAACTCGGCAGGCCAGAAATCTGCTTGCTCTCGGGCCCCAACCACTCACCCACGACATCTTCGCTCACAAAGCCTAGCCCATCCACTCTCTTGTACGCTTGCCCTGGGCCTTGGGGGAACAGGAACACCATCTCAAAATCTCTGCAGAAAGTCAAACAATGTCGTGTTAACAATGCAGGAGGAAGGGACAGCTTTCTAGCAAAGAGGTCAAAGGGTGACGAGACTCAGACCCTGGTGGGCTTGGAACACAACCACCCACAATAGCTTACTGGCTTTATCAGAGCCGTGAGAATAGGTCATCAGGGGCACAGAAAAAACAGATAACAAATGTGGCTCCTCTGGGATGCCTGGGGTCCAGAAGGAGGGCTGATGGGGAAATGTGCTGTGTAAGGCCCTGGCCAGCCCTGGCTGAGCCGTAGGAGGCTGGGTGGTGTCAAATAGTAAGAATGATGCCTGCATCTCAGGGGACTTCTCAAGGCAATGTGCATAAAAACAGAATGTGCTCGTATCCCACAGTTAACAGGCTTGGGCCCAACCTCACGCCTCCTTATTCTGAGCCTTGCAATTTTTTTTTGCTAAAAACAAGCAAACACCAACCACCACCACCACAGTGGTCCCAGCTGGGACCTGGGCCCTACACAGACACCCCCATGTGGATGGCTGGATCCTATCTCCACCAGCCTTGGACACCACACCGCCTGCCAGCCTGGATCCAGGTCAGTAGCACCCTCAGACACGTTGCTCTCGGGCTGGTGCAACCTTGCAGTTAGGGCCCTCACTAACAAGCCCCTCCCTAAAGCAGACATCTCTTGCTTCAGAATGTGGGAAAAAAGCCTGTCAGGGCAGCCCCTGGGGTCCCCCAGTGCACATCTGTCACACCTGGTTCCTTTCTTCCTCCCATCTCCACCCCGTGCCCAAGTCTCCCCCTCACCTCCTCTCCTGGGATTTATTCAGCCTGATGTCCCAGGCGAAGCAGCCATCCTCACAGCCAGCTAGCAGGTAGCGGTCAGGGCAAGAGGGCACCAGGCAGAGACGCAGGGGGGTGGCGCTGGCGTCCAGCATGAGGAGTTGGCTGAGGGGAGGGAGGGAGGACGAGTGTGAGCTGCCCCTCAGGGCCTTCCTCCACCTACCTCTTAGCTGGGCTCCGGGGAGAAGGCTCACCTGGGCCTGAAACTGTAGTTACAATCAGGGAGGCCAATGTCCCAGAGGGTGATGCGCTTGTCGTATGAGGCGGCTGAGGAAAAAGGAGGAAAAGGCTGACCATTCTCCAAGCCTAAGGCCATGGCTGAAGGCCCCTCAGAGCCCCAGAAGGGCCATGGAGGGCATGGCCTGCCAAAGGGCAGGCCTGGGCCTGACGGGATGCAAAAAGCCTTGGCGGCAAGGACACGTCCATCTTTGGCCTCGGCATCCCTGGCAACCAGCATGCAGTAGGCATTTAATAAATGCAGGCTGACAGACCACCTGCTGTGCCTAGGGCTTCCCAAGAGGTTCTGGCTGCACTTTCCACCTTGGTGGCCCGGGCAGGACAGGGGCGAGATGTCTTACTGAAGAGGTGGGTCTCTTGGGAGGGGCTGAAGCAGGCCATGGCAATGGCTTTTCGGTGGGCTCGGATGTCTCCGTAGCAGAAACCCGCGCGCACGTGGACGAGGCTCACGATACCGCGCCGGCCTGCAGCTGCCAACACGCTACTGCGCTTCTTCCGTCCATCCTGAGTCACCAGGGTCAAGCAGGTCCAGGCCACGGTGAAGAACTCCTGGGGACGAAGTGGAGACGTACTGTGGGGAAGGTGGCCGCACTCCTCAGAGAGCACCTACTCCCTTCATCCCACCCACAAGCACCATTACCTTTGCTAGTTCTTTCAAGCTTATGGAACTGAGCCCCCCAACCCCACAAGACAGAGGCCAGCTGGCCTGGGCACCTCCTGGCTGGCCCCTTCAAAGGCAAGAGGGTACTCCCCCCACTGAAGTCATGTCAGTAAAGCAAAGGACACCCAGAGCACCCTGCTGACCCGCTGAGAGCAGACCCCACACCCCCACTCACCTCTCCAGGCACCTTATACCTGTGGAGCACGAGGCCCGTCTGGCAGTCGATGACGCACACGGCCTCCCCACCACAAGTGGCCACCGTCTGGGAGGCGCCTCCAGGCAGTCCTGGAAGAGGGGGAGGGTGGGCAACCGGCACAAGACTTCGGCTGGGGGCCCCCACAGCACAGGAAGACAAGAAGCAGGCCTGACCTCTCCCTCACCCCAGTGAGAGTCAGGTGGGGACAGCTCACCTGTGCTGTCACTGCAGGTGGGCTCAAAGGCACAGGCCCACAGCTGGGTGTTAAAGTCCTCCGGACTGTTGCCTTTACTGTGGCACTGGAGGAAGTGCATGGGCTGCAGCTCCATAGGCTCCTGCAGAGGAGCCGTGATGGGGTCAGGACGCGGGGCCAGAGGGAGCCTGGCCTCGCACCCCACCCCTCACCTCCACTGCCTCCAAGGCCTTACCTGGCCCTCTGTGTCCATCTCGCCTTGGGGGCCCTCAACCAGGACAGGCTGTCCACTGCCAGAGCTGCTTGACCGGGAGCTGAGGCTGGGCTCCCTGGGCACAGGCTGGGAGTCCTGGGGGGGTGGGGAGGGGCGGGCCCTCTTGCAGGGAGGGGGGTCCGATGGAAGCCTCTTCTTCCATTTAAAGGCCGAGAGCTTGAGCTGTGGGAAAGGAATTTTGGAGCCGCGGTGGAGGGGTCATGGAGGGAGGGCGCCACTGGCCAGAGACTGGGATGCCAAGCACTCCGAGACCACAGGCCTCAAAATGACACGGTCTTCAGGGACCCCTGGATCCAATGCCCTCATTTTTACAGATGAG